GGGATGTAATCTATAATTATAATTAATAATAAAATAATTAATAAAAAGCTAAAATAACTAAAAAATGAAATAATAAACTTTAAAAGGAAATGAGTCTTAATAAACCTTTTTCACTTCAACACAAAGAAAGACAGAAAAAGGAAAAAGAGACTCATGAGAAAAGTAGAACCACCAAAGAAAGTGTAGGTCAAAGATTCAAAAAAAGTCAAAACGAAAGAAAAGAATTGATACAAATTATCAAATACTCTTTATCAATGATAGAACAATTTCAAAAGAATCCTGAAGAAGCAGAAAAGATAAACATCTCATTAGAAATGATGATTTTGTGTGCGTCCAAATTAAAACTTGGAGTTGAACGGTACTTAAAAGATTATGAAACTTTACGTGGCAGTGATGGTTTTATAAATACATTTGATTCTGAAGAACGGTCAATAGTTAGAACACTAGAAATGTGGACATGCACAGAAGGATTTCATTTAAAGAAAGAGTTTGATAGTCTAAAAACTGTGTTTAATGAGAATAGTTTTTTTAATGCAGTCAAAGATAAAGTTAATATTAATGTCGTCATCAAAGATGGTCCTGGAAATATATTTGGATTTCATGTATCAGTTGCTCCTTCTCAAAAAAATTTGGCTGTAGTTGACAAAACTCATTTTATATTTTCTATTAAAAATGTTGTTAAAACTAACCAAACGAATCGTCAATTTGTTCCTAGTAGATTGATCGAATCCTTTGTCATTTTTCATAAATCAAATTATGTCTTTTGTGTTCCTTATGCTTTTGCAATTGTTGGAAATGGTAAATCTGCAATCTCTCCTAAAATATCCTCACTTTATTTTACTAAAGAACAGAAACAATTTTGTACTCCTGATGATATTAATGGTACTGTCCTACCAAATACCTTTCCTGTGGAATGGGTTAAAGTTTTTGTTCAGTAATTTCATACACTTTCTTTTGTTGTTGTATGTTTCTTTTTTACAATAAAATTATTTTTTGATTTACACTCATAGAAAATATAAAAAACCAACAGCAAAAGAAAGAGAAATTCATACCAGCTAATACATATAAATGAGAGAAGAATGAGTGAAGTATGTATTATATGTATGTTCAGAGATACGTTAATTATCTCATTAAAACCATAGCAATTATAATCACAACATAGATAATATGAATTATTTCACTCATCACTTCAACCATTTTCATTATCACAAACACTTTAATAATAATTTCAATAGAAATAAACAACATTATTATAGAAACAACTATCATAATAAAACACAGTGAAGACACAAATAACATCAAAATAAAAGTCAAGTCAGAAATAAAAGAAAAGAAATAACATAAAATGATAAACTCAAGAATATTATAGAAGGTTATTATGATAAAACCAAGACTAAAGAATATTCCTAACAACAGTATTGAAAAAAAAATTAGTATTTGATTACAAAAGAAAAAAAAGAATAGAAGAGACACTTTAGTATGACAATGGGAGGATATTGATAAATAGTTAAATCAAGTAGGTACAATTGGTAATTATTTAAACATTAATGACGTTTAATAAAATCTAAATAATGACAAAAGGATATAAAAATGAGTCATAATGATGTTAATAAATGAAAGATGATAAAAAAATAATCTAACCAATTTTTTAGGAATTAAAAGGAAAAACAATAAGTACTATTACATAATTATTAAATGCTTTGTTAATATAATATTATTCAAAATTCTAATCAAATGTTTCAAAATATAATAAAACTATTAGCTCAAAACAAAATGGGATATAAAGTATGCATTATAATTAGATAGATATATTCACTATCAATCATTTAATACATACTTGGTATTATTAGAAAAAGAAATTCAACAACATGAAGAAATAAGAAAATATAAACTCAATTCACTTAGTTTAATTAATACCATAAAAAGCATCTCATTTTTAATAAAAAGACACCAATGAAACAATAATAATTGTAATGGAAAAGTAAATATATATATTTATCAATATGTACTTACTTAATATTATGAACAACTCAGTAAATTTTTATGAATATTAAATTTAACTAATTTGATAATACTTAAATAATATCATAAATAATTAAATAATATAATACACAGACATTGAAACATTCTTTTAAAGAAAAATAAAATCAATTCATAAAACATAATAACCAGTAATAATAAAACAATAAAATAATAGTTAATTATAAAACCAAATAATAAATCAAATCTGCTTATAAAAAAGAATAATAAATATAGTAATACATCAAAAATAATAGTAATAGAACTATAGAAGGAATATAGAAAACGATTAAATTGCAATTAACAATAAATAAATGATATTTCTGAAAAATAATATCATAATGTTCTTTATAGAAATACATTAAAACGAAGAAACATTTTGCATATTTAACAAAACTAATTAAGTATATTTTAATAGCACATATAAATATTAAATTAAACATCTATAGAATTTAATAAAGAAGAGAAATTACTTCCTTATAAAAATGAAATTATTTTAATAAATTCAAAATTTACGTAAGTGAAAGATATTTTTTTTATAGATGATGAACAAATCAGTTGTTAATGATACAACTAAACAAAAGATGAGTATATTATAAAACCACCTGCAGCTCCACTTATTAATACTGAATCATCAAAGTCAATAGAAACAATTGGAGTTTGGTGGGTATAAAGAACTTGATAATTTCCAAACCAATTCTTAGTACAGTCGAGTAAACCAATTTGACGATCATTTCCTCCAAAAACTATTTTTCTATTCCAAACTTTAATTGTATTAATTGAAGTAAATTGCATTGCACGGTTTTGAGTTATTCTATTCATTCTATAATCATAAAGAGAAATAACTCCATTATTACAACCACAAACGAGGGAAGTATCAAAATAATCAAAAGTATTAATATTATTATATGAATTTGTTTCAAAAGCTTTTTCTTTCATTCTTGAATCAAAACCAATAATACGAGAGTCAGAATAACAAGAAATATAGAAATAAGTATCAACTTTATCAATACAAGAAATATGACATTGATTAAAATTATTTGAATACCAAGGTTTTTGTGATTGAAAATCAATAAAATCAATATTTCCCGTTTCTTCCCAACATAAAATATTTTTACAAGAATCAGTAAATCTACAACCATGATGTTTTTGAAAAGGAATAATATTTAATTTATTTGTTTCATAAAAATATTGATATATTTTTCCATTTCCAGAAACCATTAATGAACATTTTGTATCATAATTAAGTTCTACAGTAATGAAATGATCATTAATAATCAAATCTTTCACAAGGTTGAATGAATTATATTCAAAAGATTTAATTTTCCCATAACTAGTTGCAACAAAAAAAGATTGACCTTTTGTTCTTGAGAATATAAAATTAACAGGACATTTAACAAATGCTTCAATACGTTTTCTAATAACAGGCCTTTTTGTTTTCCAACGAATTCTAATATTTTGTAAATGAAGAACTTGGTGTGCAATTGATTTTGTTTCAATATAACGAGGTTTTGGAGTATGAAATTCTTTTTGATTAAAAGAAGAAATACTAAAATACAAATTATAGAAATTTTGCCAAATTAAATCATCAGAAAGAATAAAAGACCTTAATTTTCTACAAGTCAACAAACAAGAAGAAAGATCTTCTAATGGTAAATAACTAAATATTTGATGTAATAATTCATTAGACAATTCTGTAAAAATACAATTTGTTATTATTTCTTTTTCATTTAATGGAAATAATATTTTACGTTGTTTTTTTAAAGAGTTTTCTTTAATATGAATTGCTTGAGCAAGCATTTGTTTAGAAATTAAAGAAATATCAGATACATCAGAAATACTAATAGAAGGAATATTATTTTCAACACCAAAACGAGTCATAAGAAAAGCACAAAAAAGATTAAGAGAAGTTCTTGAATGAATATAAGGAACAAAATTATTTTTTTGAGGAGTTTTAAAATGATAATAATAAATAGAATCTATTTTACCATCTTGTTGAATATTAAATAATTCTGCACAAATAATTACTTCAAAATTAGGTGTATGTGGTAATGGACATGAACATTTCATTGATTGTGCAGCTGTAAACATTGAACCTTCTCCAAGTGCAGAACAATAAACAATATCAGTTGAATAAGGAGTTGTAGAAAAAAAAGGAGTTTCACCATGTTTTTGAATAATTCTTTCTGTTTGTTTAATAATTTTACATTTAGGGAATAAAGGTGATTGAAGAAAATGAGAATATAAACTTTCAAGAAGAATTTTAATAGAAATAGTATAATGAGATTTACCAGTAATAATAATTTCATCATATTGACTATTTGTTTTCATTAATATTGATTCACTAGAATAAAGTGTAATTTGATATAATGAAATTTGATTTAATCTAGTATAAAACTCTCTTTCTAAATTTAATAAAAGAAGACTTTCTTGATCATTTTTTAAAATTTCATTTAAATTATAAACAAATGATCGTTCATTATTTAAGAACCAAATAAATTCATTCTTATGAATTTTTGTTGTATTAAATTTTATTTCAATTACAACTCTTGTTCCACTGAGATGTTTTTCACAACAAAAAAGATAATATTCTACATATTTTGGCCAATAATTAGATTCAATATGAAATATTTCATTTGGAAAACAAATAACATTTTCAATAAATTTATATTCTTGTAGAACATTCCAAATAATCCATGAAGATTTACATTCCACTTTATTTCCTTCAAAGAATATTTGTGTTAGTTCAGGAAACAATGAATAAAACACTTCCTTTTTTTCAAAAACTTTTTTAATTTGACTTAATTTAAATGGTGAAAATGCTTCAGTTAATACTTTTAATGTCCCATTTCTTCCTAATTCATATGACTGAAGACAATTGGGTGGTGGTGAAAGTACATTTGGAATTTTGTTATATTCTTTTAAATTTATATTATGATATTCTTCAATAATCTTTTGAATAGTGGCGTTCATTCCTTTCTATAAACAACTAAATTTCTTACATTTTTTCATTCATATAAAATTTTTAATTCATTTTTATTTTTTGATTTTCTTTTCTGTTAAAATTGAAACTAAGGTGCAGTTCTTTTCTTATTTTGTCTCAAAGTACTTTTACTATTCTCTTTCTTTCTCTTGTTTGAAATTAATGATTCAAAAATAACTCATTCTAAAAACATTTCCTTATTGCAATAATTTCTTTAGTTTTTTTCTTATTCCTTAATAACACTAACAAAATTCACTCTTTATAAAACCTTTCACTTAAAATATTTTGATATAAGTCTATTACTTTACTACTTTATTACTTTTTTTATTACTTAAAATAATATATAGAAAATATCCAATAACGCCATTAATATTACATTTGTCTCTAAGATTGAAAGAATTGCCATTCACTAAAAAATAAACTTAATCCACAAAAAAGTTATCTCTGAAAGATTCAAAAAATATAAGAAATAGAACAATAGCAACTTGTTTTTACCTCAACCAATTTTGAAAAAAACTATACTGGGTTAAAAAAAATCCTTGAAAATTTAGAAAAACTATTGATAAACTTAACAACAAAGAATAACCTTTATGTTAAATAAAAAAAATTAAATTCAACAAAGACACAGACTTCATAAACATAGTCTATACTCTACTACTACAAAAATAATGTTATTATTATTTTCTATATGAACATAAAAATTTTAATATATCTGCTAGTGTTTTAACACTTATACTAAATAATTCCTTTATTTTCTTTATTCTTTTATACAATATATGAGATTATAGGCTTATTTTGATATAAATATTACTCTTTAATTTAAATGAGACGATAAAAGGATAAAAAAGAAAAGTAACTTCAAATTTCTTATTTTAAATTTTTATGATATTATATTTTTTTTAGACTTTTTTCTCTCTATTTATTCTATATTCAGTCTATCTTTTTGTACTTATGTTCTTATAATTTTCTTATGAACAATGTTAGTTAAAGTATCCTTTAATTTAGTTATACTATTAATAAATTTACTCAAAATTTTGACTCATTTTAAAGTATGTAAAAATGTCAAAACAAGTTTAAATACAAAAAAACTAATTGAATTTTTATTAATTTAAATGTGATAATATCATAATATATTATTGTAAAACCACTGTAAAACTCTATGTCTTTAACAAAATTATTTCTTTTTGACCTAAGATAATCAATTCATTTTTGTATAAACCATGAATCAATGAATTAAAAAAATGAGTATTATTTCTTCAATTGTTTATTTAATTAATAAGGTTATTAGTTCTTGAATCTTTTATCTTAAAGAATGTACATCAAACTAAAGTCACACTAAAAAGGAAGTAAATATTCTAAAGCAATTTTTTATACAATTATTCAAATAACAAAAATGTAACTAATTCAATAAAAAGATTAATTACTCTTAATACATTTTTAGTTTGTTTTAGAAACTAATCTATATTCCTAGACTTTTAAATCTTTTTGTTTTGTTAATAATACTCTAACTTATTGTTTTTTATTTTATCATATTTTACATTGAAAAGACTGAAAGAGTCTATAACTACCATATAGTGCTTAGAGTAAAAAGAAAAAGATAGATTATAGAGACTTATAATGTTAAATAAAATATATTTTGTGTTTTAAAAAAATATAGTCCAATAAAACTACAATCTGTTTTTCACATTCTTAAACTACCTTATAATTTTATAAATATAATCTTATTGAATGATTTCTACAAGCATAAAATAAAAATAGAAATTTAAATTACTGAATTTAGACTATCATAATAGATATTTATATAACTTTTGTAGTTAAATAAATTTATAGAAGTATTATTTTTAAATAGTCATTATTGATTTATCATAGTTGATTTTCATCTTTCAATGTTTTAAAATAATTAAATACTATTTGCAATATGCATTTTCTTTGAATTAAAAAATAAAAATCCTTAATCTTCTTCTTTAAAAATAATAAAACTTACTTTGATATTACTAGATTCAAGACTCGTGTGTATTTTTTTTGTAAAAAAAGACTCAAAACTAACAAAAGACCATTGTTAAGATTGTCAAATTCAGTTTTTCTATTTTCTATATCAGCAAAACAGTATTTCATATCAAATTTTTTATGTATAAATAATTATTATAGGATATTACTTTGATGAAACAAAATACAAAATTTATATTTATAAAAGAACAAAATAAACAAATTAAAAATTACTATTTTATTGTTATTAATAACAAAAATTTGATAGTTAAGAAGCACAAAAATTAATTTCCAAAGACAGATTCTCTGTAAAC